AGCACAGAAAATGTCAATTTGTATTTATAAAAATATACAATTTAGTTGACTTTTAGAAATACGTTTTTGAAAACTAATTTTCATTATGGATTTGTACATATAATATTTAGCCCTTAAGAATAAGATCAACTGGAGAAGCTATATCCTCTTTCAGGGAACACTCTTCTAACAATTTTTGAAGCTATCAAAATACCATGATTCCCTGGGGAAAGATTTGCAGTTTTCCTAGAAACATACTTTATTCTATTGCTTTGTGCTTTTACATCTGCAGGTTATGAATATATTTTTTCACGTTAAAGCATAACTATTAAAACTCTGATCATATTATAACACCTTAATTTCATCTTAAAAAAAGAGTCTTTATCCTCTAATCTCATGGTAAGACCATACCCATTTTCTCCAGCCCATTGAATGCAGCCAAATGTCCCACACATCACTCAAGAGCCCTACCACACTTTTCTCCCAATATGTACTCCCTTGTTTTCTTGGATCTGTTACTCTCTGTCTCTGCTTTCTTCTTCCCATTATCTGTAGCTATTCTTGATCTATTTGAGAACTATTTGGGGATCTCATTTCACACTTGATATGGCTGCCTCCCAGCTCTGCACACTCCATTTTAACTTTATCCGTGTCTTCTAAAACAGCCCCTCTCTGAACTGGGCTGAGGAAACTGACCAGTTTAGGTTCCTTATCTCCACCATGGGATAAAAAATGATATGCCTGTTTAAGCGCATTTTTATTGGGAAAAGTACAAAGCTTACCACCGCAAGCTACAGGTAAGAGCCTGATTGAAGGACTTGAATCTCTAATCCAAAAGCTACATGCACAATTCTACTTAATCTTAGTTAGCTCACAGGGTAAATACCAAGGCATAAATCTCATTTATATCTATATTGTAAAATACCATAAGTTTATCAAGTGTTTAGATGTACTACCCTGAAAGTTCAGAGACTTTATACTTAATGGAAATAAAGTATTATTGTTTTGCAATGGGAAGTACAACTATTTTTGACAGAGCAAGAACTTGTATGTAACAGACATTGATTATTATAGGCTTCTAAAAAACAACATGCATTTAAATGTTTGGTATAAAATTACACTGCTCAATAACAGATTTAAAGCTATCTATTCCTTTAGTCCAAAGAGTCACTTTTTTCCAAACACAACGTTTTTAAAAATAACTATTTGCCTCTACAGGATTTAGAAAATAGTGATACATAAATGCTCTCTGCAAGATATTCTTCTCTTTCATTTAGTGAATAGTTTCACAAATACCTGTCCTAATATGGTACAATCTTCAATATTATTATGTAAAAAATTGTTTCAGAAATATTGATAGAATGGCACCATTTGTGTTAATATACAAATATAAATAGGTAGATATAGAGAGAGATAAACAGATGATTGATAGATGATAAATGGATAGAGACAAGACATGCTTTAACAGGAAGTATTTCTAAAAAAAGCCTCAGAAAGTAACGATTATTGACTTAAGAAGACCCATAGACTGGGAAAGAGAAATACCTACTTTCCACTGTCAGTCTTTTGAAATATATATATATTTTCTTAGTAAGAGACTGATAAACTGAAATACAAACAGATGGACACACACACACACACACACACACACACACACACACAAAGTGAATAGATAGATAATCCCTACCCTAAATTTAACTTATAACTTATGTGAACAATTAAATTTGTAAAAATATGGGACAATGCCCTCAAAAGAATCAACCCCAAGAGCAAAATAGCTTGATTTATTTTTAAAAGAGTAGAATTAGACACACTTATATTCTGTTACTGAATAGAATGAAATAGAGAGGACCTACAATTTTGTAGCTTGGAAATTTAATGAAATATTTAAATTAATTATAAGAAGGGGTGACTTATTTTACTTGTTTCATCTTGTAAAATTTTCTGTTGAAGAAGGTACTCTAAGCAGAGGCTAAAAGACAATATTTGAGATAATATTTTGACAAGATTAAAATTAGAATTAAAACTGTCCTCTAGTGAACTGAACTTTCTCAAATTACCAGGTAACCCATCAGCTATGAAAAGAGTATTTTCTTAATTAAAAAAAGGATGTAATATGATCTACAGGAAGCAATCAATTGAAGCTGTTGACAATTGCAAATCTATTAACCATAAGGATGACTTTTAAGATTACTGCAGGCAATTTTATAAAAAAATAAATATAAGGTCATATTGAAAACGAACGAAGATGGTTAATGCCAGAACAATACCAGCCACCTGGTATCAGACAGGTACGGTTAAAAAAATGATTAACATAAAGATATACAAAGGATAATTTATATAATTTTGCCACCGTGTACATTAATATATTTTAAATAATTTTACTTCTAAGAATAATCTTTCACAGAACCATTTGTGATCTATTATACAGTAAAACCAATTTTGGGTGACAAATATATATTTCAAAATAGTATTTTAAGATAATATAATTCCAATGACTTTATTACCTCCTTTTACTTTCGAAATTGTCCTGGGTCAGAGGACATATTATCACCCTAGTGGGAGAGATCCAAAGACACTGATCAGCTCAGACATTACAGGATCTAGTTTCACTTCCCCACAGGTTCTTGACTTCCTCTTTCTCACTCTTATCTTATAATTTATGTAAATGAATACTATGTGAGAAGCTTAACAGAGATGCAGAATATTTTGAGATTTTTCCATAACCACTCTCAGTCAACAAGAAGTTGAAAGCTTTCCCAGCCTTTTTTGCTAACAGAAAAGTTTAAGGATCACTGCCCAGCTATTTCTTTGCTTTGCAAAGGCTGGTTGGATTTAAAATTAAAATTGTAAGTCAAGTTTCCTAACCTTCAGAAAGAAGGATTCTGCTTGAAGAGCATGTTCCAGGGAAGGTTCCCTTTGAGACTCCTATGTAAGGAAGAAAGCACAGCTAGACAAGTACACAAATCAGCAGTACAGTGAAAGAATATACAACCTAGCTACTTGAGGTTTCTTTCAGGACCATGTAAAGTTTAATTAGGAAAACAGTAAAATTTTCTGTATCAAATGAAAAAATCCATATACCCATCTTTACAGAACAAAATCCAACATTCCTGCTTTTAAGAGACTTAGCTTAAGAATAATGGCGGCCAGGTGCCATCACTCACACCTGTAATCCCAGCACTTTGGGAGCCCGAGGAGGGTGGATCATCTGAGGTCAGGAGCTCAAGACCAACCTGGCCAAAACAGTGAAACCCGATCTCGACTAAAAACACAAAAAAATTAGCTGGGCGTGGTGGCACGTGCCTGTAATCACAGCTACTCGGGAGGCTGAGGCAGAAGAATTGCTTAAACCTGGGAGGTGGAGGCTGCAGTGAGCTGAAATCAGGCCATTGCACTCCACTCCAACCTGGGCAACAAGAGCAAAATTCCGCCAAAAAAAAAAAAAAAAAAAAAGGCTACCTTCTCAACGTGGTCAACTCAGCCAAATCCAGCACACTATAAAAGTTAAAATACTAGAGCACACCCCCTTAAAATCAGGAGCAAGGTATTCTTCACTCCCATTCTTGCACAGTATGTTTGTTAATAAATTTGGAGCAATTAGACCCTCCGCCGCAAAAAAAGAAGAAACAAAAAAAGAGCCAGAGAAGGGAGAGACGGAGGGAGGGAGGGAGGAAGGAAGGACGGAAGGAAAGAAGGGAAGAAGGAAGGAAGGAAGGAAGGAAGGAAGGAAGGAAGGAAGGAAGGGAGGGAGGGAGGGAGGGAAGGAATTTATAAACAATAAATTTTGTTGAACCTGATTAAGGTTCAACAAAAATTTTCTGTAAACATTTACAATAATTAGTAAATATTTTAGTTTTTGCAGATGATACAGTCCCTGTCACAAGCACGGCTGACTTGTAAACAACATGGGTTTGAGGTTTGAATTGTGTGGGTTCACTTAGGGGGGTATTTTTTTTTTAAATAAATACACTTCTCCATATGGGCAAGTTCTGCAGCTACAATCAAAAGTGGATCAAAAATACTGTGTTCACTGGATTCCAAACCTGCATATGAGGAGGACCAAGTTTTCATATCTGTGGGTTACACCAGGCCAGATATGGGACTTGAGTGTGCACAGATTTTGGTGTCTACTGTCCTGGACTGTACTGGACTTTGATGCTGCAGTGCAAAAGTAACCACAGACACAAATAAGCAAATGCACATGGCTCCACACCATCACCGAATCTCTACTTGTGGACACTGAAATTGAATTTCATATAACTTTCATGTATCACAAAATATGATTCTTTTGATTTTTTTTCCCAATCGTTTAAAAATCGTTCCTATTTCCTGGGCTGTACAAAAACAGGTAGAGCAAATTTGATGACACCCTCCCCTAGGTTATTTTAACAGTAATTACATAATTACTCTTAATTAATTGGAGAATAACTATTAGATAAATATAGACATATCTAATTGTCCATCTCTAATTTTTCACACAGTAAACGTTTTATAGAAAAATTGTAAAGAATAATCAAATTAAGAAAGTGTTCAATTCTAAAATAGAAATTTTATTTCCTTCTCCCAAAAAAAGGACCCAATCTCTTTAGCTATTAATTATATCCCTGTAAACATAGTAACCCTCAGGAATTTCTATTTGCTTTATATCTAATCTTCAAGCCTCACGGCACTCTCATCAAGAACAATGGCGTGCACACAGTTCTTAAATTCATTCCAGTTTCTTTCTTCCTTTTTTCTTTTTTTTTTTTTTGTGCTGAACTTCAGCCAAACATTAAATTACCTTGGGAAATAAAAGGTAAAAAAGAAAGAAGCACAAAGGTGGTATTTGGCCTCACTTTATGAGGACATTCAATCTTAATTTAGAAAAAGAGAGAAGAGCATTTTTAGTGTGAGGAGAGAAGCATGGGAACTGGAAAGAAGTAGAGAGCTTTTCAGACACACCTGTTTTTGTAAGTTTGTTTTCAGGTAACTATGCTTCCGTTTCTATGCAGGTGAGGTTGTAGGTCAGGGGTGTGTGTGTGTGTGTGTGTGTGTGTGTGTGTGTGTGTCTATAAATCCACACCCATTTTTAACCAGAAACGTCCAGAATACATTTCTAACAAGAGCACTGGCCAAGACAGGTAAGCAAGCAAAGTTTCCAGATTATTTTAATCTGTGGTCAAGCTTTGCTATATTTAAATAATCACCTTTTGCTATTTAAAAGTAAAGCTTTCAGTAAAGGGTGGGGTAAGTGAAATGAATTTGTATTTTTCTTCTTTTACTGAACTCAATTGCCTTTGCTGGTTTCATAATTTTATCTCTATTTATATTAATGCTATTAGATTAAATTGACATCAACCACAAAAACAATTCTTTAAAAATTATTCTACAAGTAAAAATAGCTCTTGTTTATATTCTTTAAAGTATTGTTTTATTTTAAAATACAGGAAGTTATAATATCAATTACTTATGTTAAATTGCTTCTGAAAAATAAAATACTAGTGTCAGAAAATGCTAACTGATGAATGTTTATACAATTTTTGACATATGGCCTCCCAAATGCATTTTAAGCTGCTGTAGGGCTGTAAGCACCCCGTATTCATCTGTGTTCCCCCAAGTAGCTTAACCTTACAACCGATACTAAAGGACCCTCAGCAATTTACACTATATTTTACCAAGGAAAGCATTATTTATTCAAAATCTACAATGTACAAGTTGTATTGCTTTGTCACATATTTAATATCTTTTTTATAATTTGTCAGTGTAAAACCAGAAAACCAAGATTTTTATTTTTTAATTAGAAAGTATTTTACAAGAATACATAAATACTTGAAATTTGAAAAAAAAAAAATGGTTCCCACTTAACTCGAAACTTGGCAGCTTTAAAACAGCAAAAAATGATGAAGTGCTTTTTCTTTTTTAAAATGCAGATTGCACCTGCTTGCCTCTGTACCTAACATAGAAATTTTTTCTAATGCTTCCTCCAGATTGACTTTTCTTAACTCTTCTTTATATCCAAGATCCCTGGAAGAATGTTAATGAAGTTTAGGACCCTCTTACCATGGAAAATGAAGAGGCAGAGAAGATTTTGCACACAATTTCTGGGGATTTTGAGCCTTCTGTAGCTCATCCACAGGCCTCTAGAAGCCTGCTGGATCCAGGTTCAGATCCTGTCCTAGATGGCTGCCTCAGTTCCTTCACTGCAACTCCCAAGTTAACTGAGGCTGCCTACCCTGGGTTGGGCTTTGTGTTCCAGAGTCAACTGTCCCCATCCTCTACTAAAATCCACCCTTTTTTTGTTTCAGTCTTTAAATTACAAGACGACTGAGTCCTTAAGGTACAGCATGACATTCTGAAATGTTTTATGGTTTAATAAGTTGTGGGAGCTTAAAGGAAATCCTTATCAGGCACCACAGTAATTGTTTAACAGGGTTTTTTAATGCAGGGTGTGGGGAGGGGTCACAAGCAGGCAGGCCAGGCGCAATCATTTGAGGTCAAGAGTTCGAGATCAGCCTGGCCAACATGGTGAAACCTGGACTCTACTAAAAATACAAAAATTATCCAGGTGTGGTAGTGGGCACCTGAAGACCCAGCTACTTGGGAGGATGAAGCAGAAGAGTTGCTTAAACCCAGGAGGCAGAGGTTGCAGCGAGCGGGGATCTCACCATTGCACTCCAGCCTGGGAAACAATAGTGAAACTCCATCAAAAAAAAAAAAGGAAAAAAAAAGAATGACAGAGAGAGAGAGATGAAGGGAGGGAGGGAGAGAGGGGAGAGGGGGAGGGAGGGAGGGAGGATTTACTTGGGATTAGGGAGGGAAATAAAGTAAGGTTAACCTGGAGTGGTCACTCTTTTCAGTCCACAGAGGGGCTGTAATATATACACCACTGGGAAAGGGAAATATTAGAATGGGAGGAATGAGGAAATGTCTGGAGAAACCTAGAATCTATAAACTTCTTTACCACCAAATTGTTCTCTCCCATGACTACAGTTGCTATTTTAAAATGACTAGGGTATTAAAATTGCCAAATGTTTTGCCAATGCCAAAACATTGTGTCTTATATATCTTCCCATTTTCCACAATGCCTACTACAATAAACTATAGCAACATCTTTGTTTGAAAGGAATCACTAAAGAATCATTCACTAGCCATTTTAGCTAAGGAATTTCACTGTTTTGGTGAGGAATTCACTACTAAATAATATAAGTCAATCGGAAAGATATCTTAAAGGAACCTTAAATAAATGTGAAGAATACCTGTACATTTATTTTATATTTTGAGGTAAAGTTTCAAAACTGCATGTGCCAACCATTTTCAAATGAGTTTTATATGCTAATGCTGTAACTAAACATCTCACAAGTATTAAAGACTTCCTGTAATATATTTATCAGGTGGTTTACGACCAGATCAGACCCAACTTTGGACTTTAGTTTTTATCTTAACAGCACATTGAGTTAAGAACCAGTTTGAATTCTAGCTAACCAAGAGAGAATATAATCATGGCACATCTACTCTTCTCTGTACATATGTCTAATTTATAGCAATATGATAGCACTTGATTTTTATAAAGAGCTGTGTTATAAATGACAGGCAAAATTCTGAGTAATTGCTGAAGCATGAGAAAGGTAAAATCCATAAAGGAACTGAAGGACAAGAATCCTCCACATTCTATTTTTCCTCTGATTTCTATTTTAAGCAATATTTGTTCATGTCTAAACTTTTATAGGTATAGATTTAAAATGTTTTGACCTATTAGATACAGGAGAATCAAAAGGAAAGACTATTTCTGCATGCTAAAATTCACTTTATAGTTTACAGGCCATTAAAAAACATAACCTAATTTGTGCTTCATCTTGGTGGTGTGAACACTACATAGCAATTCAGAAGGAGGCTTTGTGCGCCCTGATCTCTCTCTCTTTTAATTATACCACACTATGCCCAGGATGCTCAGAACATGACTTCTCACCAACTGAGCATCTATCGAGTTAAATATTTTTAAAATAAAAAATGAATTAAAGTTCTATGTGTTTGGTTATACCATGTCAAACCAAAAACGCAGATCAGTCTGACATCACAGGATTGGTCCAACTCTTAGCAAATATCTTCTAATGATAGGTTGAAGTAACTCACTAGATTCTGAGAATTCCTTTCTGTCATCTAGCTCCTTCTGAGAGATTCTCTAGAAGACATGATGCTACACTCAGCTTCAGCTCTCTGCCTATTACTCGTCACAGTTTCTTCCAACCTTGCCATTGCAATAAGAAAGGAAAAGAGGCCTCCTCAGACACTCTCAAGAGGTGCTGTAAACTTATTTTATTTTCTAAACTCAGTCGCTTAAATTGCTTTTTAAAATACCTACTGTCTTCACTCATAGTCAAATTATGAAGCAAATTAATCTAACTGAATGATTTTTGTTGTGTATGACTTCAAAATAGATTTTTACAAACAGAATGGATCAGTTTATTTTAGGCAATGGATCAAATCAACCAGCAAACAATAAAATAAATTTGCATTAACTTTAACTGAAATAATAGAGAATTGGCTTGCTGTCTCTTAGTATACCAAGTAACCAAAGTCCTAGAAAATAATGATTGATTGCTATGTCATATTAGTGTCCTAATAGCAATTTAAGATTTTTCAAAATTTGCTCAAATTCTCAGTTCTCTATTTCCCAGTCCTCCAAAATAAAAAATAATTTGGAATGATTTTATATAAGCCTACCCAGAAAATTATAGTGTACCCCAAACCCTGAGAATTTGGGGTAACCAAGTCTTGCTATATTGACTCTGGAAGACAGATGCAGGGGTTTTAGACATAATCAAGGATTGCCATTGGCTACATGTTTAGAAAACATTTCTTTTAGTACTTACTGTTTTACTTTGTCCTAAGAAACAAATATACATTCAACTTTAAAAAAACATTTTATAAAAGAAAAAATTCTCAAAGTTGGTTCCTATATTTCCAAGTAACAGAAGTAGGAACAGAATTATTTGTCCCCCCATAGCTATTCAAAATTAGCAGTATTACCACAGAGCACTGAGCATTTGTTTGCTACATTCCACATTACCACTGCAAATAGTGGTCAGGTGCTTTGTAGTAATACTGCTAGTTTTGAATAACCATGTAGGAATATATATATATATATCAGAGGTAGGAACAGAGTAATTATATTATAGTATATATAGAGTAAATATGGTATATATTTATATATAATTATATCTAATAATATCTTATGTAATAAATTATATTAAAATATATAATTATAAATATATATATTATATATAATTTCAAATTCTAAAACATTGACTTGTTTCCCAAGTACATTTCATTTCTTAAGAGATGTATTGAGTGCCAGCCAAGTGCTCATCAATGTTTACCTAAGCTAATTAATTCTACTTCAGTTTAACAAATATACAAACTATACATACAGAAAGTCAATATATTTTTGCAAAAGAAATGAATTAGAAAGTTGAAATATTTTCCTAAACATAATCCTGTTTCTCTATATAGCATAATAGTTGTAAAACAATGAGTTCAGTAGCCTTAAAGTGCCAGAGACTCAGCTAGTAATTGCCCTTAAACACTGTTCAGGTCTGCATTAAGCAGCATTGCTATAACTATACAACAAGGCATCAATATTCTGTGTGTTCACTTCTAAATAGTTATTTAAAACTCCTTCCAAATTTTATGAAAAATGTATTACATTTGTATGCCCTACTTTAAACAACTTAGAAGTTCTGTTTTTTTAAATGATAAGGAACTAATTTAATGCAGAAGATGACTAATGACTGTTAATGAGAATTGGTTTATATTTGGCAAAGTATTTTACCATCTATTGCTACTTGTGAAACAAGTGAGAGAATAAGGCTCAGAATGAATGAAGATTAAAGGGAGGGGTGAGTGGGAGGAGGTGGGATACAGTATATGAAACTTCTCACAGCACAGAGCAGCATATGAAGCCCCTTAGAACACAGGGCAACATCAGTGAAGTAGAAAAGGTAGTAAGGAGAAAAGGCAGATTAATTAGAAAAAGATAGAAGAAGGTTCAGGGAGAAAAAAATACACATACAATGATACAAAAAATCTCAACTTCCTTTGAATCAGAATTGCTGAGTACCTAGTCCAGTGCCTCGCAGATAGTAAATACTTAAATACATGTTAGATAAATGAAGGAAATATCAAAAGACAAGAAAACATAGCCAGAGATAGAGATAGAATTAGAGTAATAAGCAGAAGCCATAAAGAGCATTTAAACTGTGTACCAGCTTTGACCTATTGTGATTATGAGACACAGTATATGACAAATTATTATAATGCAATATGTATTCCCTATAGGGCTATGGATACTTTTTTTTAGAACAGGGATTATATTGCTTTATGTGTATATTCCCATTGCTTTGTGGAGTAAGATATACAGCAGATGTTCCTTTACTGTTTGTGGAACCAAATTGAACAGGAGCAGAGAATACAAAGTTTTCCTATTGCTAATGTTCCAGTATTAAATGATATTTGCAACAGAACAGGGAAAATTAAGCAGAGGCCTAGTCTCACTTGCTGTTTTAGAATAACTTTTACTTAATGCAAAATGTGGTATATAGATACGGCATGTGTTCAAGCAAAGTTGGAGAGAGGCTCTTTCAGAATTATTAGAGAGAGCAAGAGTTCCTGTTAAGATGTGGCATTAAACTAACAAGAGATGTTTTCCAATGTTAAGATTTTAAATCAGGAAAAAAAAAAACCCAAAAACATTGCTAGTGAGAATGTAAAATGATACAGCTACTTTAGAAAATAAGCTAGCAGCTCCTCAAAAAGCTAAGCATAGAGTTACTGTTTGATCAGCAGTTCTACTCCTAGGTATATACCCACGACAAATGAAAACAACTACCGCTCAAAACCTTGTCTATGTATGTTCACAGCAGCATTACTTGTAAAGGCCGAAAAGTAGAAACAACCCAAATATCTATTAACTGATGAGCAGATAAATAAAATGTGGTATATCCATACAACAAAATAACATATGAACCATAAAAAATGAATTAAATAATAGTACGTTACTATATGGATGAACCTTAAAAAGGTCATGCTGAATGAAAAAACTTTAGTCACAAAAGGCTACATATTGCATGATTCCATTTATATGAAATGTCCAGAATAAGCAAATCTATAGAGACAAAAAGTAGATGAGGGGTTTCTTAGGGCTATGGCAGTTGAAGAAAATGGGGGGGAGGTGATAGCTACATGGTATAGGGTTTCTTTCTGAAGAGATGAAAATGTTCTAAAACTGATTGTGGTGATGGTTATACAACTTTGTGGATATACTTTTAAAAAGTATACTGTTTTTTGTTTTTTGTTTTTGAGATAGAGTCTCACTGTCACCCAGGCTGGAATACAAGTGGCATGATCTCGGCTCACTGCAACCTCTGCCTTCTGGGTTTAAGCGATTCTTCCGCCTCAGCCACTTGAGTAGCTGGGACTACAGGCACACGCCACCATACATAGCTAATTTTTGTATTTTTAGTAGAGACAGGGTTTCACCATGCTGGCCAGGCTGGTCTCGAACTCCTGACATTAAATAATCTGTCTGCCTCAGTCTCCCAAAGTGCTGAGATTACAGGCATGAGCCACCATGCCTGGCTAAAAGTTTACATTTTCAATAGGAAGTTGTATTGGTATATGAATTTATTTCAATAAGACTATCACCAGAAAACAAACATGCAAAACAAACAAATAAGCAGAAATCATGGAATCATATTTATCTTGTTTTCTAATTATCCATGATATTAAAGCCAGAAACTGTGGTCTGACAACATTTGAAACATGTAAGAAAATCTGGGCCCAAACTGACCTTCAAATAATTCTAATTTTCACATTAATTCAGTCTTTCTCATTCATAGACTGAGACATTTCCTGAAAATAGTAATGTTTTTTGAGGTTCTATGTATTCTTCTCCTTGATGATCTTATTCTTTAATTTCTAATGTACACTCCCAACTACTCATACCGTTTCTTTAAGGCTAATGGGTTCTCTTAATATTCATTGCTTGCTGTTTTTTCTCTCCATTCTTTTGGGTGTTTCCAAAACACATGTGCTTTATTATATCTCTCCGCCATGAAATTCCCACATTAGAATTTTTCCCATGTCAGAATTCAAAGCAAATTCTCTTATTTCACAATGTATACTGACTTAGAAAATGTCAGAATCTCCTGGGACTTAAAATACGAGGGCATTGTACAAACCAAAGTATTCCTAATAATATTACAAAGTATGCAAAGATTAACCGTTAATTTCCAAACATTCTGAAAGTCAGAGCTTTTACATTACCCAAAGATCTCCTTTCAATCAGCTCTAGTCATAACAACATTTATTAAGCACTTACTGCGTTCAAGGCCATGGGCCTCAAGGTTTGAAATACAGTAGCAAAACCTCAATACTACAATCTAAAGGGAAACCACTTCCATATCTAGTGAAAATTCTGTGTCCTCTGCACCATATGTCAGCCAACAGCTTGATGGCTTAGTTACAATCTGTAGGTAGATATCTGCTTTTTAGATAACCATTTCAGAGCTCTTCTGTTGTTCTTGGTTACTGCATTGATTTCTCTCTTCTATTTAGGATGGGGAGATGACATCACTTGGGTACAAACTTATGAAGAAGGTCTCTTTTATGCTCAGAAAAGGTAACATGCCTCTTCAGCTCATGTTTTCCTTTTATTTGTAGTAGAATTATAATAATTATACATATTTATGGGATATAGGGTGATATGCTAACACATGTACACAATGTATAATGATCAAATCAGGGTAATTAGCATATGCATCACCTCAAAAATATCATTTCTTACTGATGGGAACACTCAAAAATCCTCTCTTCTAGCTTTTTTAAAATATACAATAAACTATTGTTAAGTATATGTACCTATAGTGCAATAGAATGCTACTAGAACTTATTCCTCCTATCTAGTTGTATTTTTGTATCTATTCATCAACCTCTCCTTAACCTTCCTCCTCCCAACCCTTCCCAGCTTCTAATAACCACAGTTCTACTTCTATGAACTCACCTTTTTTTTTAGCTACCCTATATGAGTGAGAATATGTGGTATTTATCTTTCTATTTCTGACTTACTTCACTTAACATGTCCTCTAGGCTCATTCATGCTGCTGTGAATGAGAGGATTTCATTATTTTTTACAGCTGGGTAGTATTCCACTGTGTATATGTAACGCTTTTTCTTTATTTATCCATCCATTAATGAACATTTAGGTTGATTCTATATCTTGGCTAATGTGAATAGTGAGTCAATAAACATGGAGATACAGATATCTCTTTGATATACCGATTTTTTAAATAAACAGTAGTAGGAAAGCTGGATCATATAGTAGTTATATGTTTGGTTTTTTGAGACTCCTCTATATAGATTCCATAATGGCTGTACTAATTTACATTCCCATCAACAGTGTATAAGAATTCCCTTTTCTCTGCATCCTTACCAGCATTTGTTTTGTTTTGTTTTGTTTTGTTTTGTTTTTGTCTTTTGGTTAATGCCAATTCTAACTGTGGTGAAATAATATCTCATTGTGGTTTTGGTCTGCCTTTTTTGATGATTAGAGATGAGATTAGAGATTGAGAAGTTCTTCATATACTTGGCCATCTGTGTGTCTTCTTTTGAGAAATGTCTATTCAGATGTTTTGCCCATTTTAAAATCATATCATTTGGGGATTTTGTTGTTATTGAGTTGTTTGAGTTGCTTGTATATTCTAAATATTAGGCCCTTGTCAAATGAATAGTTTGCAAATAATTTCTCCCATTCTACAGGTTGTCCCCTTACTCTTTTGTTTCCTTGGCTGTTCAGAAGCTTCTCAGGTGATATATTCCCATTTGTCTATTTTTGTTTTTCTTGCCTGCATTTTTGAAATCTTACCCATACAATTTTTGCTGGGAACAATGTCCTAAAGGGCTTCCTTTATATTTTCTTCTAGGAGTTTTATACTTTAAGGTCTTACATTTAAGTCTTTAGTCCATTTTTAATTAATTTTTGTATATGGTGAGAGATAGGAGTCTAGTTTCATTCTTCTACATATAGATATCCAGGTTTTCCACACCATTTATTGAAAAGGGTGTCCTTTCCCCAATGGATGTTCTTGGTACCTTTGCAAAAAATCAGCTGACTTTAAATATGTGGATTCATTTGTGGATTCTCTATTCCATTGGTCTAGGTGTCTGTTTTTATACCAATACCACGCTGTTTTGGTTACCACGGCTTTGTAGTATATTTGGAAGTCAGGCAGTATGATGCCTGTATTTTTGCTCTTTTCACTCAGTATTGCTTTGACTATTTGGAGTCTGTTGTGGTTCTATACAAATTTTAAGATTTTTTTCTTTCTGTTTCTGTGAAAAATGTCATTGGTATTTTGATAGAGATTGCACTGAATCTGTAGGTTGCTTTCAGTAGTATGGTCATTTTAGCAAAATTCATTCTTCCAATCCATGGCATGGGATGTCTTTCCATTTTTTGGTGTTCTCTTCAATTTCTTTCTTCAATGTTTTACCATTTTTATTGTAGAGATGTTTCACCTCCTTGGTTAATATATTCCCGTGTGTGTGTGTGTTTGTGTGTGTGTGAGACTTTCGTTTATTTGTTGTTTTTTTGAGCTGGAGTGTCACTCAGTCTCCTAGGCTGGAGTGCAGTGGCATAATCTCAGCTCACTGCAACCTCCACCTTTCAGGTTCCAGCAATTCTCCTGCCTCAGCTACCTAAGCAGTTGGGATTACACACACACGCCATCACACCCAACTAATTTTTTATTATTGGTAGAAACAGGGTTTTACCATGTTGGCCAGGCTGGTCTCGAACTCCTGATCTCAGGTGATCTGCCCACCTTGGCCTCCCAAAGTGCTGGGGTTGTAGGCGTTGGTCACCATACCCAGCCTTTTTGTGGTTATTGTAAATGGCATTGTTTTCTTGTTTCTTTTTTTTTTTCCACCTAGTTTGTTATTGTTGTATAGAAATGCTACTGGTTTTATGTGTTGATTTTGTATCCTTTACTCCGTTAATTTTAACAGATCCTATAGATATCCCATAGTAGATTCAAAAACTGACATTTTAGTGTTTAAAAAGATGCCACAAGTATTTGCTCTGCTATTGCATGCCACTGTATGACTAATAGCTGCTATTAGAAAGCATTTTATAAACCAAAGTTCTAAATACCTCTATATTCATGTATTTATTACTCAAGCAAGCTTTTCAGTATGTTGTAGAAACAAAGCAGTATTATTTTATAGGCATTATACAGGCTTAAACAGAAAACTGGCTTAGGGCAGCAGTTTTAAGACCTGTTTGAATATCAGAACAATTTGAGTAGCTTTTTTAAAAATCCAAATTTATAATTAATAAGTCAAGTATTCCTTGGATGTCCAGTGCTATGTGCCAGACACTGTTCTAGGCTCAATGACCAAGTACGACACAATTTTTATTCTTAAAAACCTATTAAGCATTTGGGAATGAAGCTGAAAACCATATTACGAAAGCTCCCAAGAATTAATAAAATACCTAAAAAACATTCTATTGCAATACTCATTAAAGATGAAGAAAGATTACAGATTAACTATTGTTTTCGTATTAAACAAGCATTACAAAAGAAAGAAGTCTACAGAAGAATCTCACTTCCAAATATCAGTGTAACAAACCAACAACATGTTAGTAAGGAGCACTAGTAGAACTTTAAATATTATACACTGATAAACTGAGGTTTAGTCTGGGAATGTCAGGGTGGTTTAGGATTAAGAAATGTATTAATTAAAATAATTTAATCTTTATAAGGAAACAATCCATACAAGTATCTCTCATCTCCATAAAATTCTGAAAAGGCATTAAACAGAATGAAACATCCACATCTGAATTTTTGAGACCCTGCATTAGAGACTATTAGTTTATTTAAATTAATCCTAACAAAGAGACAGCATTCCAACAGCAGCAACAACAAAAAACCAACATTATGCTACTGGGAAAACAAATAGAAGTGTCCCATTAAAGTGTGGATAAGACAAGTATGTCTACAATCACAGCAATTTCTAACATTTTTCTGGAGGTACTAACTAATGCAATTAGTTGAGAAAAAAGTAGAAAACATAGAAAGGAAAAGTTAAAACTATCTTTATTTTCAGATGATGATTTATATACATGAAAAACTAAAAAGAATTTAAAATATTCAGAATAACAAAAATTCTGTTGAATTAGATGAGAATAAGTTAATATTTAAAAATTCATTGCATTTATATATAGAAAATCACATACCAAAAAACTTATAAAATACCTCATTTACAATGACAAAAAAGAAAATACCCCAGAATAAACTTGACAGAAGATGTGCAAAATCTCTAGGAACCTTAATACACTAAAAATAAAAAAATATTTGGCAGTGCATATTGTATTCTTTGAAAGAAAGACTTAACATCATAAAAATGCCCATTATCTCTATACTTTAAAAACTTTTTAAGATGATCACAACAAATCATGATAAAAAATTTTAAAAGGTAATTCTAAAATTGAAATGAAAAAATAGACATGAGTAGTTAGGATAGTTAGGAACATTCTGAAAACAGAGCAATGGAGATTAAGACTTAATCATTATTCAACACTGTATAAAGCTATAATAAACAGTATGTCACTAGTAAATAAATAAAATATGATAAAAGTATGTAAATAAATAATTAAAACTTTACAAATGGATTAGGATCTCCAAACAAAACACATAGAGGAACTCAATGTATTAAGAAACAGTTTCCCCTGGCCCTATATCCTGCCTCAGCCTCCCGAGTAGCCACCACACCAGCTAATATTTCTATTTTTGGTAGAGACAGGATTTCACCATATTGCCCAGGCTAGTCTCAAACTCATAAGCTCAAGAGATCCTCCTGCCTCGGGCTCCCAAAGTGCTGGGATTATAGGCATGAGCCACTGTACCAGGCCTCACTTCACCTTAAAGGATGTTTATCAACTGCAATTGAAAGGATCAAACAATACATTCTATATCAATAGAAACAAAACAAACAAACAAATAGGTAGCTACACTTACATCAGAAAAAATTGACTTTAAGTCAAAAAATGTAAAGAGACACAAAGAAGGTCATTAAATAATAAGAAAGGTATTAATTTACCAAGAAGATACAATTATAAATATACTTCCATCCAACATTACAGTACCTAAATACATAAAGCAGATATTAATAGATCTGAAAAGAGGAATACATTACAAAACAATAATAGTAAGGGACTTCAGTACTCTACTTTCAACAATGAACAGATCATCCAAAAAAGTCAACAAGGAAACATTAGACTTGAACTACACTTTAGACCAAATGGACCAACAAACATATACAAAGCATTTAATCAAACAGAAAGAGAAGATACATTCTCAATGGCATAGGGATTATTTTTTAGAACAGATCACATGATAGACCACAAAACAAGTCTAACAAACTTAAGAAGACTGAAATTATATCAAGTATCTTTTCTGACCATCAAGAGGTGAATTGATAAAATGTGGTATACGTACACAATAAAATACTATTTAGTTATTGAAAAGAAGAAAATCCTGAATAACTATACAAAGAGCCTATTTCCTTTGATGCTCACAATCCACTTAAAATCAAAGCAGTATTTTAAAAAATCATTCTATA